TTATGATACATACTTATACAATGTTAAAACCAATTTGAAGTTTAACTCACTCAAATTTCATTTTGACAAATTAACTGCTTTTGTTAAAAACTATTCTCCCCCGCTCTCATATTAACTGCCATATATAAACTCTTTCTTTTTCTATCTCGTTTTTTAGTCTTAGTTTTATAGATTGCCGAATGAGGCAATGATACCCCGTGACCTCAAAGATCAATTGTGCTCCCCCCCGCGTCCTGTAAATTATTTTGTTAAAAATGTAATTTGTACTAAAAAGACCCGATTAGTATATTAGTATACACCAGTTTCATTAAGGTTAAATTAAATAAACGTCATTTCTTAAGTACTGAAATGACAGCGATACTATTTTTAAACTTCTCATAAGCTTACTCGTTATAACAAACAAATATTTCCCTTTAGTTCAACTTTGTTTTGCTTTATTATAGTTGCTATAAACTCGTGCAATGAGACAAAATACGCAGCATATTACAAAAAAAATGAGAAAATTGAGAATAAAATTTCATTTTTTTTTCATTCAAGGATGTTAAAAAAAAAAAAAACTAAAATTGAATATGACAAACAAAGAACCAAAAATGGTAAAAGATAAGCTAAAAACCATAATTGGACACGTGTGTTTTTCTTTTTCTCTAGTCTAGATTTATATTCTTTTCTCTTTTTAATTTTTAGTGTCTATTTTTTTTTTCTTTTTAATTGAACTGAAATATGAAATTATCTGACCGGTGTCAAAATCAATTAATATAATAAAACATAAATAAATGTGCACTTGAAAAGAAAATTTTATTGAACTCTCATATTATTTTATTAAAATGTTATGACATGACATTTTTTTTTTGTATTTGAGGAAAAAAAGAGAGTAGAATGTAATAGGAATAAATAAATACGAGTGCTCTATTACGTTAAAATTAATATGACAGAAGAATAGAAAGAGTGTAATGCAATGCTACCGAAACGGCAGGCTCTTATGAAATTATAAGAAATCATTTAGTTTATAAGAAATTTTATATTTATTGTCACGTAATTTTTGTTATGCTATGGCAGTAATTAGTAAGAGAATTTTTAATTTTTATTTATTATTAAATCTCACATTGCATGCTCTGAGAAAGTTTGTATTAATGACAGTATTTATTAATTGTATTCAGATTCGACTATTGTTGCAAACTTCATAACTAAGCGGGAGTGTTTTTTTGGCCAAAAACCAAATTCTTCAAAACCTATTTGAACGTTTTCAAGCATATTTAAGGCTAAAATGCGTACCATTGAATTATACGGTGGAGAAGAGATAATAATTATGTCGAATAAAGGATTTACTCGCGGAGAGTAGAAGGGGGTGGAGCACGATAGATGAATTTAAAAATCTACTACTGGTTAACTAGAACTAATGAATATTGCATTTTAAACTATATTTATGTATAAAAGATTTTAAATATTTTTAAGGTCTTTTCTTATTTTCCCGTGTAAAACAGTATTCTTCTTGAAAACTACAATCATGTTAATAAAATGTACAATAGCTTTAACTGCAGTGTACATGTGCTATTTACTTAGCATAGCAACCCAATAACTATTATAATAAATCACTTTAAAAATCTTTACAAATCAAATAAAATTTAAGGTGTACACAAGCTCAATGGCTTGCAGCATATTTCTTCTTAAATAAGCATGTCGTATAAAAATAATATAAAAATTTAATACAATCACTTGTAGACCTCATGCCTATTTAATATTGTGTCTATAAGATAAGCTACAAAATTTATGAAAATAAAAGGAATTTTTAACGACAACAATTCAATTAAGTTTTTGTAATAAAAAAAAAATACAAGTAAAAATAATAATGAAAAAAAAAAACAAAATCCAAGGGTTCGAATAATTTGATTTTATGTCACTTTTACAATAAGAATTCACCTTTAGATAATCATCTTATGTCCACATACATATAAATATACATTGTACATAATAATGGACTAAGAACGTGATAATTACAAGATTTCTCTTCAATATACAAGACACGAAGGATATTGTAAAAAAAAAATAATAATAATAATCCTATAGGGCTCTATAGTAGCCATATTGAAAATCATAGTATGGAATTTTGATTAGGACACCAGAATGTCTACAATAATTACATTTTCTCTATATACTCATATAACTATCTTATGTATAGTTAGTTTTAATTTACAATTGAAATCATCTTCTTCTTATAAGTTTTAACTTCTTATTTCTTACCTTATTGTACTCAGTTTCTTCACCACATGATTGCAATTCTTACATTTTTTATTTGCTATTTTGACATTAATTTTGATTATTTTATTTTGAATCTATAAAGATAATACGAGAGAGAGTGAGAGTGAGTATTATTTGCTTGTTCTTTTTAAGATTTAATAGTTAAGATAAAAATAATCTTCAAGGATGATTCAATAAATGTATAAAAAATAAAAAGCGAGAAAACTGTTTTTACTTTTTTAATATCCCAAAATAATAACGTTTTAGATGCCGATAAAGAAAATAGAATTGAGACACAGGACATTTATTGTTAAAATTGGTGTGTATTTTGTGTATAACAAAAATTAAATGAGTATATACTTGGTCACTAATAATAATGAGAGCATGTGAGAAAACAAAAATATTCAAAATTATTATTTGAAAATTTACTCACTTTACTATTAAAGAGATGCGCAATAATGTTTATTTTAAGAATCAAAGGAATTTTGTGGTTGCGTTGAGGTGACCCAGACTGTGTCTGAATAAATATTTAATAATTCGAGAGAGTTTTGTTTAGAGAATATAATTGACGAAGTAGCTCTTTCTAATTCTATTGAACACATAATTGAAACATGAAGAATATTCAATTCAACGTACTCACTAATTAGAGATAACTTAATTAGTTAACTAAACCCTGTCACTTTTGTCTGAACACCGATTTTTGTATTTCAAAATTTTTAAAGCTTGTCTAGTTTCACTGACCCTGCTTGTAGACCAATCGGCCGATCGTGCAAATTTTTCGGCAAATTTTTCGAAAAATTATTTATTATCCGATTTTCCTAATCTAAACTGCGATTAATATCTCTTCATCTCTTATATAACACATTTTATCTTTTAACAATATTAAAAAAAAATTAATTTAACACTTGTCTGACTTTCTACCTATTGCATTAATTTTCAAATATAAAAAGTGTGTTAAACACAATAAAAGTTATAATCCTCAGAATACACACAGTTGCTTTTTTTATTTTTTAAAATTTTCTATTCAATTTAAGTGCTAAACAACAAGTAGTAGTGAGCTAATCAGACAAAAGGATTTAATAAAAATAACTCTTAATTGGGTAAAGGAATTTCTTTCAAAATCGTTTCTCTTTCAATTGAATTCTTGCAAAAAAAAAGAAAAAATAAAAAGTAGAAAAACCAAAAATCTTCAATTTATTTCATTTTTATTTTATAAAGATTTTTTTTTTAATGATTTGAGAAGTGTTACCGTTATTTACTTGTTTTGTGTTCATTTTTGTACACAAAGAAAAGAAAATTTTCGGGTTAAATTGTTTCCGATTTAATTAAATTTCGTTTATCGTAATTCTAATAATTTTTATATACTCTGACTATAAAAATTATTTCATTGTTTACTTTGAAAGATTTTTGAAAAAAAGGGGGGCGGGCAGGAATTAACAAGGAGTAAATATGTATCTTTTTTTTCTCCTTTATCTTTCTACTCTGTATTTTATAAATAATTAAAATTTTTAGGTTTAATATTTGGTTTACTTTGTTTTTTTTTTTGAAAATTTATTATAGAATGATTAATAGTTAAAGTTGACCGGTAAAATAGAAGGAACCGTACCTTTACATTCAGGATAAAATCAAATAAATTGACCGGAATTTTTTTTTTTCGTACTTGGTTATTAAACTTTAAGCAGATCATACAAAATAATATATTAATGCAAAATATTAAATCAAACTACCTCTTACCCCTCCGTTTGCCAATGGATGACTTCAGATTTCTATAATTCCCTTTTATTTAAGAAGAAGAAAATACATTTAACTTTTGTAATAAAAGGCTCAAAATTGCTGTAATACTAACTGTAAAAAATTCAACACATTTACTCTTATCAAACATTAATCTTCGATTTCGAACATTTAAAAGAGAGTCGAATTTTGACTGAGCGGAGATCAAATAATTATGAACTTTCTTAATTATTTTGGAATTAATTGAAGCGTATTTACCAGATGTTGGCAAAATACAAATTAAAATACAAAAAATTCGGATATTTTAAAAAAAAATTAAAAACTACAAAATTCGACTTAGGAATAGTGTTATTTCTTCTAGCCCCAGACTCTATTACAAACAAAATATTTTTTGTTGTTGTTCATTCTGTTTTGATATTTTATCATTTTCCTCTCAAAAAATTTTTTACTTATTTTCTCTTTGATTGAAAATTTTCTTATTGAAATTTACCGATTTTTTAACAAGATTCAACAGAAACGAAAAAATACCATTTAAGAATTTAATTTTCTCATTCTTCACTAAGAAATTTAAAATTTTCACCAAAATTACAAAAATCCCATAAGAAAAATCAATTTATTTTCGCAAGGTCTTCTTTTATAAGATTTCATTGAAATCTTATATACCCGAACCCGAAATAAAACAAAATTTTTTTATAATCAATGAAATGTCATGGCTCGTTTTTTTTTCCTTTTTTTATATTCGTTGTGTTACAATTGTATTTGTACTGTTATACGGGGGAGGGAGACGACATTTAATGAGATTTTTATACAAGCAAGTGATTGTTTAAAAAAAAAAATTTACATTATTTTACGAACTGATTATTGGGCTCGAATTTTATGTGTAATCTTTGGTACCAAAGAATGACGCAAAAACCAAAAAAAAAAAGGACATAAATTTTATAATAATTGAGTGTATTTTAATTTTTCATTCCCTCTTTTTTTTTTCGAAAATTCTTATAATTTTATGTATTTTTTTTTACCTTTATTATTTACAGAAGGACATTTGATCAATACGAATTGTTCGATGGGGCATTTTCGTAAGGCATTATGTTGTAAAATGTCAGCTGAATTAGATGTATTTTTGGAGAGCGGTAAAAAGTAAGTAAAAAAATTTTTTATATTTTTTTTTTGTTGTATTCGGTTTTTTGCAAAATAAATATAATTAAGGATAATTAGATATTAAATAATTGACTAATAATATCCTTAGGATAAATTATGGAAAATGATTTTTGGAATCCTTAAATTTTTCTCTCATTCTTATTCTCAATCAATTACTCGAATCAATTAAAAGGATATGGGGATTTGATTTGATCTTTTTAATAAAAATTTTTGAATATTTTCGAATATTATCGGAATATGAAAAATTAGGAAGGATATTTTAAGAACAATAAAAATTTCCCGCTTTTTTCAAATTAAAGTCAAATTTGATTGATAATTGAATAAAATATGATTGAAATAATTTTTGATTAAATTCATTTACAATTAAATGGAAATTCAAGTAGGTGTTTTCCTTATTTTCTGATTAATTATTAAATTGAGCATTTAATTTCAATAATTGTAATTTATTCAGAAAACTATAATTATTATTAAAGGAATGAAACTTGTAGGGTAAAGTGAGAAAAAATTATGGAGTGGGTAATTGAGTTAGGTAAGGATAATATGGAGTAAATAATTGAGAAGGTGGTCTCATTTCAAAAAGTATTTTCAAAAAGTCGATTATTCCGGTCTTTGTACGGAACATAGTATTATTAGGTTGCAAACACGTGCCATCCGAATCAATGTCATCCTTATTATGAATCCGCCAGTTTCGGCAATGAAATAATTGTGCCAGTAACACCAAAGAGTTCTCTAAACAGCGTTTGCAAGATCATAATCAAATAAAGAGTTTATGGATATCCTTATTTTCACTATAGAACCCCAACTATTTGCTGAATCTGAAAAAATTTATTGAAATCTAATAATTTAAATAAATATGTGTTGCTATACCTAATTGTGTAACTTTAATAAATTTATTACTTTGTTTAAAAAAAAATAAAAGATAATAATTTTTCCTATATTTAAGTACTCCACTCTAAGACGTAATTGCAATAAATATAAGGAATGTTATTCTACTTTTTAAAATCATATAAATTTTACTTAAAAATTGATTTTATGTCTTGATTACTTAATTAAGTGTAAATTAGAGAAACTCCCACCGAAATCTTATACAAAATTAAATATTAAAAAAAATCATATACTTAATTACAAAACTGTATAAGCATATATACAATTCTATAACTTGGTCTCATTCAAAATCTTACGCAGACATTTAACAATTAAATAAATTTAAAATTTTTATCTATAAATTACATAAGCCTTAACATATAGAGAATACATAAACAGTGTAATACACAAATATCTTGGATTTTCTTAAATTATACTATTGCCTACGTACGTTTACCCATTAGACTTATAAAATGATTATTAATTATTATAATACTAAAGTTGCTTGGCGATTATACACTATATTCAAATACTGAAATACCTACTTCCATTTGAACTGTATAGTAGTAATTGGATAGTATATAGACATATATTGTGAGTCTTTTAGTTTATTTTATGAATATGGAAAATTTTTTACTTGATACCTCATTTAGTAATTTAAAATAATGCAAAAAATATACACACAAAAATAACAAAATAAATGACGCGTATAACAGATTTGATCTGTTTTAAGCTTTAATGCATATACAAATAGTGCACATAATATAATATACAAGTAATTTTACAACAGTTTTCATGCTACATTACAACAATTTTTAATAATAATTTTAAATTGAGTTGAAAATTTTATTACGAGTGACCATCCTACATTTAAGATTTTCATTTATTAAAATTAGTGTAGACACTGCATTTACAAATTTATTGCCACACTATGAAATTCATTTTCTATAATTATACTAAATTTACTTTAGAATAGGTTGAAAATTGAGCCTAAAAATATGCAATTGGCAGATTACATCAACACGTATCTCATATCAATATGTCACGTTATGAGTCAAGTTTGCATACTTTTAAAATTTTTCACAAATTAAAAAAAAGCTTATTTACAGTACAGCGGAACGACAACACCCGGACAACTCATCGCAATCAAATTTTCCATTTTGTGAGAGCAATAAAAATGCAATGAAAACCCGATGCCTGCTATAAAGATGCCTGGCATATAGATAGTCGAATAGACTCCAAGTTCTTAACCTGTCCGATTTTACAGAGATCATATTAGTAAATATTCTCACTCTTAATATAACGATTTGCCAAAGCTGATTATATTAAATTCTTTCTCTTATTTTGTCATATGGTCACTCTCCTCGAATATTAATATAGCATGCATACTGCAAAATTCACTTTTCATTGATATTTTTACACTTAATATGACTTTCTACACATAAACATACATTTATATATACGTACAAATGTCAATTTACGAAAACAAATCTTGATTATTCCAGTTCTGTTTTATTTCTCTCCTCTCTACACTCTTCTCCGCTCTTTTACTTTTTGTCTTGTTAAAATGTCATTTAGCCATTTTGCTTATTATTGCGCTTAAATTATAACGATGATATTTTTGTTCACTTAGATTTTTTAACATGTACAAGCGTTTTAATCATTAAAATATTTTGTGAAAATGAAGAGATTGAGAAAAAAAAAACATTTTTTTTTTAATATCTTAATCTTTTTATTTTTTTTTTAATTTTTATTCTGCATTTTATTACACTAACGGTATAGTAATAAATATTAGAGCGTGGTGGCGTCATACATTTTGTATGCAAGTAAAAATTGTGTATTAGCTACCGCATTTATTTAAAATTTTAGTCACATTTAATTTGTTAGGCTAACAACGTGCTAAACCGTGAAACTTTTAAATAACTTTTAATAAAATTAACAATTTTTTTTTTTGTAATGAATGGATAATCTTTTAATTTAAAAATCCTGACAGCTTTTTTTTTACTACTTAATTTATGTGGATTTTTTTGTTTTTTGCATAAAGTGGACCAGTTTTAATACTCTTGATGAACAAACTGATTTAATTAAATGAAAATAAATGTCTATTAAATTATTTTTTTAATTAACAACTTTAAAAAGTTTTTCTTTCAATTCACAGAACTGAAAAATTATCAATTTCATTTGGAATTTAATTTATAGTAGATGCAAGTGACTGTGTAAAATCAAGATATTTTATTAAATTCCGAAATTTCGAAAAGTAAGGAAGAATAATTCTCAAATAATTGAGCTATATATATTGAATGTTGTATTCTGGGGTAATAGTTTGTCCCAGCCCACATTTGTCTATTGTAAAACTATTCAGATGAATTTTTAAGGGTCGGCGGATTAGAGCTCTTAATTAGAGCAGTTACTGCACATTTACTCAGTGTTTCTACGTATCCTATTGCGGATCAAATACTGTATATAAAAATTGCTCCTATAAATATGCAATATTTCAATTCAAAAATATCAAAAAATTGTCATAATATTGAAAATTTAAATTTTATCAATTTTAAAATATTCATTTACTATCAAATTACATTTTTCTACGAATATTATACGCTTTCTTATTAATATTTCTTTCTTAATATATGAATGAAACCTTTCAATAATTACCACAAAATATTATTAATAATAAAACTAAGAAATGACTTAGCCACATACATATGTAAACCGAGAAATACCAAGAATTCTAAACATAAAAATTTTAATTTTGCTTATAATAAACGTAGATCGTATACTAAGCATATTTTACATATCCGTATATATATAAAAATAGTAAATGTACTATTAACCAAATTCTTCAGGAATACTATAGAGAAAGAAGAGGAAAACCATGTAAACCACATCAAAATAAATGAAATAATTTTCAAAGTTGGAAAAATATATAAAAAAAAAACGAAAATAAATTGTTTGTACACGTTTAGTGAACTCAAAGAAAAATCATATAGAAAATGATTTGCTTTTACTATTTTAACAAATTAAATTAATTTCCTTTTAACCCTTAAGTAACTTTAAAAATTTCAGGGAGCACAAAATGTTTTTCATTCCGCTTTCCAAACAATAGAATCATTGTAAAAGTACGGACAATAAAAATAGACACGCGTGATTTAGGAAAAATTTAAATAGAGCGAAAAAAAATCTGAAACAAGTGTAAAATACCAACAATAAATTATTGGTAATATATTCCCTTTTAACGCTTTATACGTTCTCTTTCAAGTTACAATGAGTACATATTCAGTTTTGAGATAATTCACTGGATTTTGACCCAAGGAAAGGATTTTATATGTATAATAATAACATTTATGCAATTACCTAATACTTGCTCATCTTCTTATCATCGAGTGAGTAAAGGTGAGTTCGATAGTTTGGATAATATTGTTAGAATATCATAAGTATTAGCAATCAAACATCAATAATTTATGTATCGAACTTGTTGAGAAAAAGTTTATGTATCAAACTTGTTGGGATGTTGAATAAAGTCAATATCCCTCTATCGTCATACTTCGGAACTAACATTCAAACTTTCATGTCTGAATGACAACATTATTTGAATTATAGAATAATTTTTATTAAATTTCTAATTTAATTAAAATAAGGGTTAAAATTAAACAATTCAACATTACATTGCAGCGTATAGAGAAACAAAAAAAAAATACTTGACTTAGTTGATGCTTTTACCTTCTTTGTTGCTTTTTACAATCATTTTCTTTATTCCCTCGGGTGTCACTCTTCCGTCACTCACCATACATTCAGAAAACCAAATACAAAATAAAACAGAAATGGTAAAAAAATGACAAGTAAATTGATGATGGTTGAATATTGTGTGCAAAGATTTGTAATTTTATTATTTTTTTTGTTTTTGTTTTTGGTCCATAAACGACCAAAATAAACGAAATTAATAATGAAACAAGAATAATTACGTGCTTGACAAAAATAGAAAAAATATTCAATTTGCAAAAATTCCATACTAAGTTGCTACTAGTTCCAGAATTGGTAAAACATCTACCAATTCTATATAAAAATAATAATATTGAAAACGGATGAATGGAATTTTCTTTTAATTTAAGAAGAAA